TTAAGCTCCATTCACTTCCTTAATGCCCTTCCTGGCTTATTCTACTCCTAGACAACATTCTGTTATATTTAAGTGATGCTAATAACAGTTACAGATAAGTAGTAACACTTGACCTCTATAAATATTCTCTTGTTAGCTATGCAATCATCTAGGAGATGTTGCTTGTTCTCAAAATTTTTCTTTTACATCGTCACAGAAAACTGATATCATAACATCTTCTTGTGATGGTAGAGAGTTCTCCCTGCAGTTTTATAAGGTAAGCAGAATAAGAAGACAGAAGTGTTCTCAAGATGCCATTGTGCTCAACATCAAACAATTTCTCATGTTCTCAAATGCCTGAGAAACCATAGTAGCAGATAGTAAGCAAAAAGGAATAGTCTCCTTAAAAAAAAAAAAAAAAAAAAAGGACTATTCCAGAAAAGCACACACAAAAACAAATCCTAAGACAGTATACGTTTCTTCTTTTTCTTCTTCTTCTTCTTCTTCTTCTTCTTCTTCTTCTTCTTCTTCTTCTTCTTCTTCTTCTTCTTCTTCTTCTTCTTCTTCTTCTTCACATACTTATGTCTCACAAAATAGTAGACATTATCCAAATTTGCTTCATGAGGAACAGATTAATAATATAATTATGAAACTACCATTATAGAGTCATACAGTCCTATATAAAACAAACCCATGAATTGGTTATAATCTAGGTACCCATTATAATTAAATAACTATACCTATTTATCTACATACATGTCAAATCAATATTAGATGGGTATTTTTCAATATTTTCCTATTTGTTCTTAATCTGTTCCCTGAGTTCTGAAATAGTAGGGGTGTACCATCGTGCCTGGCTTTTAGTTTATATTCATAAAGAGATTAATAAATATGATTTAAATACATCTGCTTGTATATTTATCCCCCATTTATTTATTTATTTATTTATTTTTGTTGCTTTTCTCTTTATTTTAAAGTCAATCTGGATATACCTTTCACAAAAGGAAAATGATGGTAGAAAACAAGTCACCTTTAAAAGATTTAGTAAATTGGGGGACTGGAGAGGTGGGTCAGCAGTTAAAAACATTGGCTGCTCTTCCAGAGGTCCTGAGTTCAAGTCCCAGCAACCACATAATGGTTTACAACCATCTGTAATGAAATATGTTGCCCTCTTCTGGCCTGCAGTGATACATGAAGGCAGAATATTACTCACAATAAATAAATAAATAAATCTTAAAAAAAATAAAGAAAAAAATTAGTAAATTGGAGTTAGAAATCATCTTCTTAATTATACATGTTATTTACTGATGGTGTAATTATAAAAATACATTTGCTAATGTTGCAATGTCAAGGAGAAAGCCTCAACCTGAGGTGAGATGTGTATTTTATTTGTAGTGTGCATTCATCAAAAATGCACTCTACAGGCATCTCCCCTCAGGGGCACATGAATGGAGTAGAAAATATGGGGAAATGATGAGGACAAATGTTATCAGTTCTGAAGCAAAGTGTCCATGCCACTTATACACCATAAAGTGATCATGTCTGCTTCACAGCAAACATGGATATTGCTCTGTGAGGAGTTTAATTATCAAGATTTAATTTCATTTTGGAGAGCTGAGCTAGTTGTAAAGAGTGACTCCTAACAGTGTTAAAGTGCTTATAGTGCAGTTCTCTTCTCCTGGCGTTTACAGGACATGCATACCAAGTATGTTTGGGTGCAAGAGCACATAAATATCTCATAGAAGTCCTATGTGGCTTGTATGAATAAAAGATACTTAGCCTGATGATTTAACCAGACTAAGTAGCACATAATAAAAATTAGTGGTGTTTGATAAGCAACTAAATATTGGATCATCTCACCACAGGCTATTGTGGTGATCCAGCCACCGGACAATGCAGACTTATTATTTCCTTCTTTTTTTCCCCCTTGGGAGAATATTTTGTGACTAAAGGCAAAAAAGTCCCTTAAAGTTCCTTGGTTTCCCTTGGGGAAAATGTCTCATGTTAAACAGAGGGTGTGTTTATCATTCGTTGCCTCTGCTAGGCTTCTTGGTGACTCTGCTCTCCCCAGCAACATAGACTTATGCTTTTCAAAGTGTAGGTATTACAAATCCATGCATAGTAAAGATACTGGAGATGGCCAGTCTCTGGGCTCAAGCCTGTGCAGTACTTGACCCATTTTCTTCTCAGTTTTATCATCCATGAAACAAGGATTGTAATATTTTTTATTACATGTGTTGTTGTAACTATTGAGTAATTTATCACATATAAGATATAGTCGGATGTGGCATGTCATCGACACTTAGAATATGCAGACTTCTAAATTAATGTTATGAAGAGAGAAGTGGAAAAGGACATGTGGATTTCTGAGAATATACACAGAAGAGCCCAAGCAGCTTACACTAACGATATCCACATGCCCAAGTTTGCCAAGGCATTGCTCACAACATCATGCTGTAGATTCATGCCATGCCCTCATCAAAGAATGACCTGGAAAAGGGAATTTTATAAATGTCCAATGGAATTTTACTCCATTAGAAAATTATTAAAATTATGTCATTTTTCAGGAAAACAGATGAAGCTGAGGAACATTGTACTAAATGAAGTAAACCATACTCAGCAAAGATTAGGGTCAACTGTTCTTTCTCACAGTAAACATGAAGGGAATCAAAAGACCACAGCTATAAGAGGATGACTATTGGGAATGTGAAAGGGTGAAGAAGACACTAACAGCAAGAACAGAAAGGGCCACAGATGGGGTGAATATGATCAAAGTATCTCTCATGCCTTATGAAAATGTCAAAATGAAAACATCATTTTGCATAATTACTATTTCCTAACTTAAGAAAGGCCTTTAACGTTAAAAGCATAACTCTTGGTTGACACTGCAAATTATTACAATATGGGTAGTAATATAGATACTAAGCACAAGAACCAAGCTAGCAGCAAAGAGAATTGTGCCAGATGGCATATTCATCCTATAGAGAGGACCAACCCACTAACCAAGCAGAAAAGCAGACACCCTCTCTTTCTTTTTGTGGCTGATATTACCCATCTTGTTTTTTGTTTTTGTTTTTTTAAAGACTCGCTTACTACATATACAGTGTTCTGCCTACATGTATGCCTGCATGCCAGAAGAGGGCACCAGATTTCATTATAGATAGTTGTGAGTCATCATGTGATTGCTGGGAATTGAACTCAGGACCTCTGGAAGAGTAGGCAATGCTCTTAACCCCTGAGCCATCTCTCCAGCCCACCCATCTTGTTCTTAAAGTTACAAAAATTGTCAGTTGTGGCAAAGAATGTGTAGGATTTAATCAAGATATTAAAAGTAACTTATGATATCATAGTTTAAGCAGTAGACCTGCTTATTTCTAACTAAATTTCAGAGAAGTGACTTTTCCACCTTTTTTTTTCTATGTGGAATATTCATAGAACAATGGAGTTAATTTGGGACAGTTACTAAGTTTTCATAATTTAATTATAGCTAATGTATTTAGAAATCAACGTTACAGTTTTAAAAGCTGGCAAGGATAATTTGTGTGTTCCACAGGTCAGATGGTGTTATGATTTACTTAATATAAACTTCAGAAAACTATAATTGAGTGTTATAATGTTCAGGTATAAGTCATGTACTGCTATATAAAATTAGTATTTGTACTTTAGTACATCAAATTTAATTTTGTGAAATCTTCATCCAAATGAACCAGAAGTTCTTTCTGTTAAAAAATGTTTCTTTTGGGGGGGCTTCTGAAGCCTTAACACACTGTGCTGAACTACTGTCTGCTGATGGATTCGTGTGGGGGGATTGTCATGGTTCAGTCGTGGACCCATTGAGGAGCTCATCAAGCTCCAATGGGTAGTTGCAAGCCACAGTCACACAGACAGACATGGTTAAACTTGAACCTCAAAAACAAACAACCCAATAAAACCAAAGGAAAACAATAACAACAAAAATTCATGAATGCGGAAGGGATTTATAGGGAGGACAGGGGTGGGGAGAGGGAGATTGGGGACTATGGGGGTGACAATAATCAGAATGCACTTTATACCCATATGAACTGTTAAAGAACAAACTCAGTCAAAGTTTTAAAAGTCCCCCTTTTAGTCCTGACTTAAACGGCTTCTGGAACAGAACCTGAGGAAGTGTGGGTGGCTATTTCTAACATTGCCTGCTGTGTCAAGGTAAGTCTTGCTAACACGGCAATCTTAACAACATAGAAATGTTTTACAGTCAAGTCTTGAAAATAAAAATTTTCTTTCTACTTGCTTTAGAAAATTCAAAATATGCACACATAAAGGAAACGAAGTAAGGGAAAACTTTCAGATAATGATAAAGGAGTTTAGTGTTTGGTTAAAATATTTAAATCAAGAGTGGACAGTTTGTTCTTTGGTTTGTTTTTGAGACAGGGTCTTTCTCCTTATCTCAGCCTGGCCCTGAATTCACTGAAATGCTCCTGCCCCAGAGTCCCAAATGCTCAGGTTATGGGTTTAAGCCAGCACTGTGAAGACTATCAGAAGTTGTATGATCTTAATCCATTGCCTTATGGAATCCCACTGCACCTAGATTATGTTTCCGTCTGCATTGTTTTCATTTTGTTTTATTTTACTTTCCAACTCTCTTCTGTTTTATTTGTTTAATGAAAAGTTGACATAGTATTCACATTTTTCAAAAAAGGGGGGCAACCTTTAAGATTGTGGATATCACACAAAGATGAAGTGCAATAAAGTGAAACAGGAAACTAATGATTGGTTGCCGCTAAGTAGGGAAAAAGAAGTGGACTAGAAATCAGTTTGAAAAATGGTCCAAGATCTTTTAGGTGTGTTGGAGAAAGAATGTTGTCTTCCAATAATAGAACGATTTATTTTATTTTATTTACCTGCAGTCTGTGACCTCATGCATGGTCACTATGTACTCTATCAGCAAGGTGTACTCATATCTTTTATTTTTAATGTTTTTTTATCATACAGAAAGCATCTAAAGTAGACTAATACCACACTAGGTCTATTGTGGCCACCTATTGGGAAATTGTTGTGAAAAAACGAACATCTTTATTTTTTTTTAAAGCCACGTTATTATACTTCCCAACAAAAATCACTGCTATAGTTCAAAGACAAATAGCCTTGTCCATCACCACCGAGACCTGAAAAAAATTCATGCTGTTGGCTATCTCAGTTTTGAAACAGGCAGAAAGGAATACTAAGGTTAGGAAAGTCCAAAGAGAGGAGAGATTGCAAGGCTGTCTGGCCAGTATCACTGGTATGTGAGTGACCCAAGATTTGACCCAGGCTGATGGCTGGATTCCTAACTGCTTCAGGGGTTCCAAACTCTGTTCCCATTCCCTTGGGCAATGGCTTTATTCTAGGGCCTCAATCCCAGTGTTCTTTCCTCTTCACAAACTGCAGTTCTGCTTGTTTTTTTCTGTTGATACAGAATATCTTTAGGACAACTGAAATTAGTAGCAAGACTGAATTAGAGTGGATTAACTATTTAAGCTAACAGGTTCTGGCTCACTGAGCTCCTAGCCAAGTCCCTTTTGCTAAACACTGTGGGCCTGTTTACTGGTTCTTGAACATGCTGAGCCTGTTCCTAGCTGGAGTTTGAACTTGTAGTTTCTGTACTTGTTGAATGTTCTTCCATCCACACAATGGCCTACCTAGTGTCATCACAGTATAGCCCCTGACTATACACTGTCTTATCAGACTACTGACATATGCTGGAAACCACATATATATAGCATTTTCTTCATAACACTTACCAACAAGTGACAGGACAAAAAATGTTTACCACAGTTCCTGTATCCAAACCAATACCATCAAATAGCAATACATGCCTGCTCAAAGATCTTAACAGAAGAAGCCAGCCATATAACAGATGTTCAATAAATATTTAAAGAGAACTGAACTGATTGAAAGCACATATGCTACATGGTAGCTTAACAGATGTATTAATAATAATTGTGTTATATTTTTAAATTGCTTCTAAATTAATCATAGTGGGCATGCCATGAGTTAAAGAATGCCATTTAAACTGGGATTTAAAGTACTAGTAAGTAGTTGAAAGATAAACTGTATGGGGGGGGCGAAGAAACTGGTCAAAGCTAAAAAGACCAGCATGTCATGAAGTCAGCAGTGGCTCAGAGTGGGTTGGAAAGAGGAGAGAGATGACATTCTAAGAATCAAGGGCTTTTGTATACCTTGTAAATTAGTTTTGACACTTTTGATTTTAATCTCAGAGCCACAGGAATACAATTAGGATTTTAAGCAAAAGATTAACAGAATCCGATTTGACCTTTAGACATCAGCCACGAGTCATGCACATGACTACGGAAGACCACCTCCGAGTTATGACAGTAAGCATGTGCTATGTGAAGCAGAATAATGGCAGCAGGGATTAAAGGGGGTGGATTAATTCAAGAAGTTTCAGAGTGTGGTTTGAAGTTTGGGACTAATTGTGGCAATGGTTTGGGGGACTTGAAAGGGAAAGGAAATAACTGGTTGGGTAGCAGAGGATGGTGAAGGAAAGATTATACAAAATCCACTTTGGAAAGGTTGGTACTGGAATACGTCTGGTGTATCCCAACGGACATGTCTAAGAAGAAGTGGGAACGATTGGTCTGGGGTGTGGTGATAATCTTCCTGGGTGTGAAATTTAGATTTCGGCATCACAGATATGAACTGATATAAACTAGGAACAAAGTAGTCTCACACTTTGTACTCAGATTAAGCCGTTATCACTGCTCTATCCCATTTTGCTCTGTGTTTGGATTTTTCTCTCCTTCACAGACACATCATACATATATGCACGCACATGAATATATGCACACACATGTAAATATTTGCTGACTCTTTTGGCAATAAATTAATATACACCAAAGTCCTCTACCTCCATACTTAAATGTATGTTTTTTGTGAATATAGATTTTTATGGAACATGGTAACTTTAAGGCTTGAGTAAATTTTACATTGATTAAACATATTTTTTTATATAATCTCTTGCTTCTGTCCTATTTTAGACTTGTGGTCTAATAATGATTCTAGGTTGCATTTATTTCAGGAAAGAGTGTATTTTTGTTCAGCTTCCCTAATTACATACACACACAAAATACTGAATTATACTGATTACTTAAATGATTCTGCATTTTCCTTCCTGTGAAAGAAATAATAATGTTTTGGGGATGATTTCCTATTTATTTATATTTAAAAGGTCCATTCTTGTAATTTTTCATTTACATAGAACATACAAAGGCAAGGCTACTATATGAAGAATTCCCCAAACTGACCTCCTTTGTATGTGGCAAAACTTACGACCTAGAAAGTAGCTTTCCTATTGAGACCATGCTATTCTAGTGGCATTGTTTTTCTTTTTCATTTCTTTTCCTATCTTCCTTCCTTCTTTCCTTCCTTCCTTTTTTCTAGACAGGGTTTCTCTGTGTAGTCCTGGCTATCCTGGAGCACACTCTGTGGACCACACTAGCCTGGAACTCAGCTATCCACCTGTCTTTACCTCCCAACTGCTGGAATTAGAGGTCCATGCTTCCACTGCCCCCTTCCTTCCTTCCTTCCTTCCTTCCTTCCTTCCTTCCTTCCTTCCTTCCTTCCTTCGCTCCTTCCCTCCCTCTCTCTCCTATTTTTTTATAAGTAGGAAAGATTGAGGAAGAGTGGTCAAGGAGGTAAAAGTTCACTCTACGTATAGACTTTGAGAATCCGATTACTACTACAGGAATGCATAGCACAAAGCATTGTCACAATAAACTCATGGTCTTACAGCAGGGAGTATAGAGGACAATATCAGCCTTGCAGCATTCCAAATTCACCAGGACCACAGAGGCACCATTAAGCTTTAGTTACATGAAACCTTGGCACTCACTAGGGAAGTTGCTAAACTGGTTTCTGTTTCTGTTGTGGGTATTCTGTTCAAAGAACAAAAGCATGTTTTGACCTGCCACAGGGTGTATGAAGGGTTGATCTTTAATGAAAAAAAAAAAAAAAGCCTGGATTCATCAGGATTGCTGTCCTTCACTAGGACCCTAATTGATTGTGGCTCAAAAGCCAGGCATCTGAAAAAGCACTTGTTTCTTTAACTGCAGTTGCCCTTGGAAGCTATGAGAAATGCACCTGGGTGAATCCGAATGGTCACCTACAAGGGAGATGTTTGACCAGTGATCAAAACAGGACACTCTGAAGTCTTTAGCTGCCCACAACAACCTGAGCGAGAATGATACACCTGTTATTAAGTCATCATAGGATCTGCCACAGAGTACATGAACTCACAGAAGCCATGAAACCTTAAACCCAGCACTGAATGACGGGTTCCTGAAGGATAGGTAAAAAACAGGGGTTTTGTCAAATCTGAGTTTGACTTCTCCCTGCTACACTTACCCTGCTGCCTTTGCTGGACAAAATAAAAGTTCCCTGTGGCCCAGTTGCATCTATAGTAAAAAAGGAGAAATAATATCTACCCACTAAGGTATTAAATTAGGATTAAATGAGACAATTGCATGCAGGAACATCTAAACACAGGGTCTGGCATATGGTGGGTGCTTAAAAATAGTTCCTGGTGCCCTTTAGCATACTGACAGGGCTGATTCAATACAAGGCAAAGACAGATTTTAGGTAGAATAAATGGAAAGGAGACAAGTGAGCCTTCTTGGGGTGCTGGCACAAGTCAGTGAAGGAAGGAAAGGAGACAGAAAGCTACATCTGCAAACCGAGGTGCCCTACATGCTTCCATGCGTAATCAACCAGCTTAGATACTTCCTGAAAGGCTTCCATCTAGGTAGACACTTCATTCATAAGACACAGACATTTTTACAAACTCTATGAGAACAAACAAAAGGAAGCATATGTCACAGCTATGGAAAGTGAGGCATGTCTCCCTTGCCGTTTCACAGGGACAGCATCATTGAAGAAGACCACTACAAGGATTTCCAGACAGTATTAGAGGGGGCTTTTGACTCCAGATGTTTGCATACACATGAGAGAAAATGGTTGTGTTTCTCTCCCAATAGACAGAGATGGCCTGAATCAAAGAGATGCCTGTCGTTGAGTTCTGGAGACACACATGGAATGCTGGGGGGATGGGGGTAGGCAGTTGCCAACCTGGGGCCTGGACTCACAAAGCTTTAACCTTGACAGAAAGGGGAGCACTCATCTTCCTTTTGTGACCAGTCGGCTGTGTATAAGTATGCTGTTACTGTAGCAGTAAAATACCCTTAAGAAAGACAAGGCAAGTAAAGAGGAGAAAACAGGACAACTTCAAGCTACAGGGCTCTAGGTCACACATGGTAGCTCTGTGTTATTCTTCAGATTTCAAGGCACAGGGCCAGGACCAGTGTTTGTATAAGGTGCTGCGAGTCAGTGAGCTGGAGATGTGTGCTCATTCTGTTTCTGGGACATTGGTCAGTTGGCATCTTCACACCCAAATCTAACAAGGCATACAGGGAAGGGCTCTTCCTCCATGGCAAAGGCCAGAATTCTTTGGGTGTTTCCCGAGGGGCAGGTGTGCTGACATTGTTGGTTCAACGATGACCTTTAAGGTAATATGTGCCTTCATACTGGTTACTGTGTAACCTATGAACGTCACTCTGATGAAAAAGTTGCTAGTTAGCTGACTTTGAGTTGGGAATTATTATTACTGTTGATCACTTTTGTGGTGATGGGAGATGTCATTATGTATATATGTTTCTCATACTGGTTAATGAATAAAGCACTGTTGGCCAATAGGAAAGGAAGATAGGAGGGGCTAGGAGACAAGGAGGAAATAGGAAGTAGAAGGAAGGAGCCAAGATGGAGAGTCTGGAGAAAGCAGTATGCCGGCCGGGTCCCCCGTAAGAGAAATACATAGATCAGAAGAAATGGGTTAATAATTATGACAGAGCTAGCCGACAAGAAACTAGTAATGGGCCAACAGATTATATCAAATACAGAGTCTCAGTGTGCGTTAATTGGGGCTGGCGCTGCGGCGGGACAAGAGTGGCGGTGGGCGGAAAAACCATACTCCTTACATTGTGGCCCTATGAAGATTCCCTCATAGTGGAAAGGGGTAGCAGGAGAGTTAGAACTACAAAGAGGAGATATGAGATGGTAAGCCAAGAAATGCAAGTGGGTTCTAGAAAGTTAAAAAAAACAAGAAAGTGCATTT